AAATTTGCGCGGTGAAGAATAAATTAAACTTCACTAGTAGATTCATAAGGACTTTAACTATTACATAAAAATTAATTTTATGCATGATCTAATATTTTTTATTTAACATTGAAGGCGAAAGGACCTCCTTAATTAACAATTGCATAACTAATTGAAAAATTGTGATAGAAATTTTTTCAGGCGGATTATTGTTCATTTATCTATCCAGTAAGCCCCTGATTTTTTTCATTTCTTAAATTTAATATTTAATATGTTAAAATAATTTTTATTAATCAAGTGTTGAAAGTAGGCATGGCTTACGCAAGCCAGAGCACCCATTTTTGGCCGTATTTTCATCCCTCTGGAAAAATGATTAATATTGGTTTTACAGTTCCGGGAGTTAGATGTTCCGGCAATATTATCTACACCCCTTTCTGCCATAGTTATTTCAAAATACTTTCAGTTCACTTTAGCGAAGTATAATGATAAAAATTATAACTTCACAATAACAATATTAATTATTGATATTTATAACAAAAACAGCAATATAAGTCCATCGACACTGATAGAAACAAATAAGCCCAATAACATATAGGTATCCCTAGCGGTTTTGTAAATGCCGAAAAAATGTCGTAATTATACAGTATTAATGCGGTATTTTTTCAGCATTTTTTCGGTTGTTTTGGTCAGTTTTTTCATCGAAATATTACGGAACATTTACGTTCAAAATGCGAAATATTTACGCTAAAAATGCGGAATATTTACGCTCAAAATGCCATACATTTACGCTAAAAAGGCCATAGGCCGATAAGTATAGTGAATCGGCCCCAGAAAGATATCTGGCTTATAATTTCAGGGTATGTTGGTACTTATAAGATACTTCGATACTGCAAGTTTCAGCTCTTCATCTAATACCGTTTTCGAGAAAATCGAAAAAAGCTGAAATTCAGAAAAAAATGATTTTCTCAGAAACCCGTGAGCCGATTGATTTGAATTTTTAATATGTTTTGGGGGATGATGGTAGCTTCTAAGAAAAAAATTATGAGCTATATTGGTTCATAAGAACCTCGAAAAAAATGACGTTTTTCTTTTAATTTTAATTTTTAACTATGATAGAGTTCTGGCACAATTATGAAATTATTTTTTTTGAATTCCTCATCCAATTTCCTGTGGAATTATTACTTTTACGAATATTAATAAATGGTACGCCATGTTGAAAAAAATAGAAAACCATTTTTTTATTCAAAAATCAAATTATTTTAATGTTTTTATTCAATGAACAGCAGGAATGGTGCTCACTCGAATATTATTCTCGATTATGTATTCGATAACTACGTTTTAATTAATATTATTGTTCCCGCATAATAATTAGTTCATTCAGTAACTGTAAGATGGCACTGTTATTACAAATTTGTAGCGGGTTTTTACTGCTACTAATAAATAAAAGGATGATCAGTAAATTCGCGGTCTGATAAACTTTATTCTAAACAAACACTTATTTTAAATAATTACATTTTAAATAAATAGGCTTTTAGTAAGCTACAGCTGTAGCGCGTAATGTCGGTTGGTTAATAATATAATAATCATAATTTGTAGGCGGGAATGACTGTAATGTTTTCTCTCGTCGTTGGTGGTGCTGAGGTATTTTTGGTTCGGTGTAAGGCCGCTGAGGCGTGAGAGAGGCAACCGGACCGCCACAACCACTCCCCCCTGAGTGAACTTCCGCGGGAACTTTGAACGTTACTTTGCGCTGGTACGTTCGTTGAGGTCTGTCCATGACGGAGCCCCAGTGTTCTTGCGGCTGACTAGGTTGTGAAGTTGACGTCTCAGGCTCGGGTGGAAAATCGTCGTCGTTCTTGGAGATGTAAGCTGGTTTCAGTCGTTCAATCGAGATATTTTTTTCTTCTCCATTGATGTCCAACTTGTAGATCCGATCCGAGACTCGTTGTATTATTTTATAAGGTCCAATGTATGGTGCTTCAAGAGGTGCCTTGACATGATCACATCGTACGAAGACGTGTGAACATGTGTCGAGGTTCTTGAGAATGAAAATACGGGCTTTGTTATGATGAGCCGTCGTTGTGGGTCTGAGTCCACGCATGTACTCTCGATGTCTTTCTACGAATATTTGAGGATCAGCTGGTAGTTCGGCTGATAAAAAGAATTCTCCAGGAACACGTAAGCAGGTTCCGTAGAGTAGTTCGGCTGGAGTTGCTTGAATGTCTTCTTTAAAACTTGTCCGAAGTCCTAGTAGAACGGTTGATAATATTTCAGTCCACGGTTTTGTCGAGCACATGAGAGCAGCTTTGAGAGTGCGATGCATTCTTTCTACGATGCCGTTGGACTGCGGATGATAAGGAGTGGTGCGAGTCTTGCTAGCACCAACCAGTTTCGCTAGTGCTGAGAATAAAGCTGATTCAAATTGTGTACCTTGATCTGTGGTAATTTGAGTTGGAGTTCCGTAGTGAGCTATCCAGTGATCAAATAAAGCTGTCACTACAGTCTCAGCAGTCATGTCTTTGATTGGTACAGCGACTGGCCAGCGGGTGAAACGATCAATCATCGTCAGACAATATTGATAGTCTCCAACTTTAGGCAGAAAAATGATGTCTAGATGAACGTGGTTAAATCTGTTGTCTGGAGCATCTAAGTGATTTGGTTTAATTCTGTTGTGACGATGTATTTTGGTTCTTTGGCATGCCATGCACTCACGAGACCATTTTATCGCGTCTTTACGAATACCAGGCCAGATGAATCTTTCTCGTAGATTTTTTGATGTTGTCTTCCCACCAGGATGCGATGGACCATGTACTACGTTGAATGCGGTTTTTCTTAGAGTTTGAGGAATGTACGGCCTGACTATTCCGTCAGTTATATCATAGAATATTTTTACTCCTTCAATGGTAAGTTCTTGAAGTTTTAGCGACGTTGAATTTTGAACCAGGTTCTTTACTTCTTCATCGTTCTGCTGAGCTTGATGAATTTCCAGAGGAGTGAGGACTGAAGGCATATCAATGGCATTGATACGTGAAAGTGTGTCTGCCACGGTGTTATCTTCACCTTTTACGTAGACTATGTCAGTAGTAAATTGTGAAATGTACTCGAGTTGACGTGTTTGACGCTCAGAAGTCTTATCTAGCTTCTGTTTGAAGGCGTAGATGAGAGGTTTGTGGTCAGTGCAGATGACAACTTTACGACAGTCTAGGAGATGATGGAAGAATTTTACTGAAGCGAAAATGGCGAGAAGTTCTCGATCGTAAGTACTGTAACGAGTTTCAGTCTGGCTGAGTTTGCGTGAGAAAAAACCGATGGGTTTCCACGTGTCGTTTTCCAGCTGCTCCAGTTTTGCTCCAATGGCTGATGATGATGCATCGGTGGTAAGAGCCAACGGGGCTGTTGCTGAGGGAAAAGTTAGGAGCGTTGTTGATGCTAGTTGCTGCTTGCATTTGTTGAACGCTTCTTCAGCTTCAGATGTCCAGCTAATTTTTGTTTTGTCGTTTTTAATTGACTCTTTGAGGTAACTGTTGAGAGGTAGAAGTAATTGAGCAGCATCAGGTATGTTTTGCCGGTAATAATTCACCATACCGAGAAATCTACGAAGCTCGACGATGGTTTCAGGTTTTGGAAAGTTGTTGATGGCTTCAACTCTGTCTGCCTTTGGTGTATAGCCATCTGCAGTAATTGTGAAACCTAAAAAATCAATCTGTAACTGAGCAAAAACGCATTTTTTTAAATTAATTATTATTTTGTGTTGCTTTAGTCTCTCGAGCAGTATGTGAATATGTTCTTCGTGTTCTTCTTCACTGTCAGAGAATATCAGATAATCATCGACGTAAAGAAATACAAAGTTGAGATCGCGGATGATGGAATCACCGTAGCGCTGGTAAGTAGCTGATGCATTTTTTAGCCCAAATGGCATGCCAAGATACTCGTAAAGCCCCCAGGGTGTTGTGATGGCAGTTTTTTTAATGTCGTCTGGGTGCATTGGTATTCCTAGGTAGGCTTTCTCTGCGTCGATTTTGGAGAAAATTTTTTTCCCCGCTAGGCGTGGGAATAAATCATTTATGTGAGGTGGTGGATAGTTATCTCGTTCAGTGATGGTGTTAAGAGGTCGATAATCACCGCACATTCTCCAAGTACCTTCTTTTTTTCGCACCATGTGTATTGGGCTGGCGTAATTGCTGCTCGATGGTCTGATGATACCAGCGTCGAGGAGTTCGTTGATTTGCTGTCTCGCTGCTGCTGCTTTTTCACCAGCAAGTCTGCGTGGTCTTGCTGTTGGTGGTGGACCGTGTGTTATAATTCGGTGAGCATAACCGTTTTTATTGATACACGATCTTGTAAGTGGCTTGGTGATTTCAATGTATTGTTCCAGCAGTTTTGCGTATTTAGGAGGTATTTCATTGCTGATAGTAGAAATATTGTAATGTTTTATTGCTATTATCTCACCTTTTGTGGACAGCTGGGTAACTGTGTCAATGAGCTGGCGGTTCCCAAGATCAATCAGTAGATTATAATGCGTCAGGAAGTCCGCACCTAAGATTGGTGATGATACATCAGCAATGATAAAGGACCACGTAAAGTCTCGGCGTAGATTTAAATTTACTTTGACTGTAGTTGTACCATATGTGGCTATTTCCGATGAATTAGCTGCATAGAGTGTGAGAGAATCTGGTTTACGGTTGTTGCGAAACTTGTTAGCAGGTAGTATCGAGACAACCGAGCCAGAATCGATGAGAAAATACTGTTGTGTTGTAATGTCGAATATATGTAGACGGAGCTCTTGAGGTTGTGAAGACGCGCTGTCACCGACCGCTCCAACCGATGGCAGCGACGTTAATTTTCCGACTGGCTAGCCGGTTTCAAGGTACCAGAGAGCTTGCATGGCATCGTGCATTTGCGAGCTTCTGCCCCGAATTTTAGATGATAATAACAAATACCATTACGTGTAGGAGTGACTGACCTGTTCCTGGACCTGTGACCTTGGTTTTGATTTTGAATAAGCTGCAGTTGTTGCTGACTTTGATTAGCTGCCAACTGGAGTTGTTGCTGCAAGTTTTGCTGTTGTGATTTGAGGTCATAAATCTCTTTAATGCACGAGGTCAATGCTTGTTGTATTTCCGCGAATTTCGCTTCGTGGTTACACGTGTTGGTTTGCGAAAATGGTCTTGCTGAAGTGGCCGAAACCTGTAGACTGGGCCCCATTACTTCGATGAAACGATCTGCGAACTCAGCTACAGTGTCTAGTCCCAATTTGTCAGTAGTGATCAGGTGTGGTCTGATCTGGGCAGGAAGACGATCCAACCACATTTGTTGAAGCACTTTGTCGTCAATGTCACCAGCAGCGAGCTCGCGCATCTTGCGCAGGAGCTGAGACGGTTTTTGTCCATCAAGAGTGAGGTCCCTGAGTAATTTTTTTAGTTGATTTTGTCTGGAATCAGATAAGCGTGAGAGAATTGCATTCTTTATAGTGTTATACTTATCTGTCGTCGGTTCCTGACGAACTACGTCTGCAAGCTGTTCAATAATATCAGGTTCAAGAGCACGTATGACGTTGAGATATTTTACTTGGTCATCATCGGTGTTGGTGGTGTTAAATTCTGCTTCGACCATGATGAACCACAGGTCTGGTCGTGCTTTATTGAATGCTGGTAATTTTGGTTTTGTCGCTGCGACTTGCAGGTTTTGTTGAGCTGTGCGCGCCAAACCTGAGAGGATTTGCTCAAAAGTTTCAGTTGAAATTGAGTTACCTGTGCTCTGCTGGGCGAACGTTGGAAATTGCCAGGTTAGACTTGGATTTGCAGCTCCTGAGGGAAATGTTGTCTTTGGCGTTGTACCAGTACTTGTCGTTGGGGGTTGCGTAGTTGATGAAATTGGATTCAGTAACGGAAGACTAAATGCATTGTCCTGGCGATTTATGGGATTTCCATCTTTGTCGAAGAGCGACGGCGGGCCGTCCTTTATGGGAGAATGGGCCACACTCATGATGCTGATTGTATTTATCACTCGTTTTTTATAAAAATATTTTTATATATAAGACCGTAGGCTTCGATATTTTTTTAGGTTAGGTGTTCGTTGGCGCGAAAGTATTGCTGGACCACGTTTTAATCACGTCGGGGTCACCAAATGTAGCGGGTTTTTACTGCTACTAATAAATAAAAGGATGATCAGTAAATTCGTGGTCTGATAAACTTTATTCTAAACAAACACTTATTTTAAATAATTACATTTTAAATAAATAGGCTTTTAGTAAGCTACAGCTGTAGCGCGTAATGTCGGTTGGTTAATAATATAATAATCATAATTTGTAGGCGGGAATGACTGTAATGTTTTCTCTCGTCGTTGGTGGTGCTGAGGTATTTTTGGTTCGGTGTAAGGCCGCTGAGGCGTGAGAGAGGCAACCGGATCGCCACAAATTGGTAACTTTATTTTCTACTTTTAATTAAAAATGACATATTTACAAACCAACCTTCAAATTCACTGTTTACATTAAGAAAAAGCTCGGTTTGTTTTTCTATTATCGCTTGTTCCAAAATATAAAAAGGACGTATTACTCTAATTTTATATAAATACAAATATGTCTACGTCTAAAAATAACAATCCAAAATGTTGTGTTTGTTCAAAATTCATAAAAAAAGTACCTGGTGCTCCAAAACATATAGAAAGTGATGGAGATGCTGCAGAGTTTTCAACTATTTTCGACTGTCCAATTATAGTTGGTGATATTGTGTGCTCATGTTGCCGTGTAAAAAAATATAAAAAAATGAAACTTGATGATGAAGAAACGGAAACATTTGGAGAAAATGAATTGACTCCAGATATAAGTGATTTGAGTGGCATGTTAGAAAGAACTGAATCAAACTTATCATCGATGACTTTGTCGCAATCAAGCTCTGATGATTAAAAGAAAAACGTCATTTTTTTCGAGGTTCTTATGAACCAATATAGCTCATAATTTTTTTCTTAGAAGCTACCATCATCCCCCAAAACATATTAGAAATTCAAATCAATCGGCTCACGGGTTTCTGAGAAAATCATTTTTTTCTGAATTTCAGCTTTTTTCGATTTTCTCGAAAACGGTATTAGATGAAGAGCTGAAACTTGCAGTATCGAAGTATCTTATAAGTACCAACATACCCTGAAATTATAAGCCAGATATCTTTCTGGGGCCGATTCACTATACTTATCGGCCTATGACCTTTAGAATATTTACGCTGAAAATGCGGCATATTTATGGTAATAAGGCGGTAAAATGACTTTATTAAAACCATATTTAAAAAGTGGTATAAAATTAAATAACGGTCGGACTCGGATTCGAACTCAGAACCTCCTGAGGACAAGTCGGCTACTCTACCATTTGAGCTACCTGGCCTGTACCACATTTTCTGTTTGCTTATCTTATATATAAAATTCTCGTGTCACAATGTTAGTCTCCATACTCCTCCGAAACGGCTTGACCGATTCCTCTGAAATTTGGTAAGCATATTGGGTAGGTCTGAGAATCGGCTAACATCTATTTTTCACACCCCTAAATAATAAGGGTGGTCCACCCCTCAATTTTTTTTTCATTTTTTTGACAAAATTTTTTTTTTTATTTTTTTATGATACGATATTCAAAAATACATACAACCCTAAGTTTTTGCCCTTCTATCACCAACCCCTATTTTTTAATAATTATTTTAGTAATTTAATTAATTTTTAAAATTTTCCGCGCTTTTACTCTGGATACTCATTGGCCAGACTATATCGGTGTAACTACCCAGTGAACAACGCGGAGTAGAAAATGAAATTTCCTACAAGAATAATAGACGAAAAATCCAAATTTCGACTTGCCAATTTTTTTGATTATTTTAAATGAATTGTTGAAATGAAAAATTTAAGATATTGAAATATGTTTTAGTTTAAACTACTTCAATTTAATAAAAAAAATAAGTGGACTCAAGCCACTATTACACGCTACTATTACAGTGATTTTTTTTTATCAAAATATTTAATATCTAGAGTAGAAGTACTGATTGGGGGCACTGAACCGTTTATGGCCATGTATTGTTCAAATAAACGATAGGAATGAATTATTATTTTTATATTAATAAACCGTTATAAGCTCAATTTTTTTAAATATAAATTTTTTAAGACTCAACCAAAATATGGTTATAATATCATTTTTTATAATTAAATTCAAATGTTAATTGGCCAAAAACGGTGCTAAGGTGGCCAAAAACGGGACTTCTACCCTAATGGAATTTTCTTCATTTCAGCCACCGAATATGTTGAAGTCTACGACGGTAAAAACTTATGGAATACCTTCGACTATTCCTGGAGTCGTTGTCCTGCAATCATCAAGCTTCCATCAAGGTGACCAGAAAGTATTCAAGCATCGACTTGCTGGTGCTCAATGCACTTCAATCTCAGCAGTAGCATGCTGCATTTTATCAAGAAAAATTGAACCCGTTATGAGAGAAGATCTTGAAAAAATACTAATTCAAGGAGATCAATACTATTTGCAATGCAAGAAGATAGCCATTGAAGCAGATTACCTAAATGTTGAAGATTTGTTGGAATCTTTTATTGTGGATGACAATTTGGTCATATTAACTTATGAAGACATTACATACGGCAGATTCTGTGACAGCGATCTCCGTAGTAAATTGTGTGAATGCATCAATGTTTGTTGCCAACGAAGCAAACTAAGCGTCAGCAGTGGTTTCTTGTTTACTGGCCAACAGAAAACAGTTTCTTTTGTTGTAAGACCGGATAACACATTTTGGCTATTCAACTCTCATTGTGTTGATGTAAACAACCGATTTCCGATTCAAGAACCCTCTGAAGGAACAGCTCGATTATTTAAATGTGCGAATCCTGAAGCTCTTGCTTCGTTACTGGTAGCTGATATGAGGAGTAGTTCAGATTATTGGAGTATTTGCCAATTAAAATTCTCCATTCAGTCGTGAATGGGGCACTACAATACTCCAGCTAATTGATTTAGCTGATAATAAAGACAACAAAAACCGCCAAGGGCTTACTTCTTTAGCGAAACTAATTGCTGAAATGAATTCTCAGCATAATATTTCGAGTGGCGTTGAAAAATAATAATGAAGAAATGAATAAAAATAAAACTCTTCCAGGCTGAAGTCGACTTCTTAAAGAATATTATAAATTGTCAGAACGGTCTGGTTATGCTAATTATTTCTTTGTATTATTATTTCTATTTATGCTAATTATTTTTTTTAATCAGATGGTAAGACTATAAATAATATTTTTATAGAATATTAATATGCATGTAAATGTTCTATCTGTGTACATTTAGTGGTGCATTGACTAGAAAACCAATACGTTTTTCTTTGTCTCAATCCTTTTTTCTTAATCAGAGTATTTATTTATTGACTGATATTGTTTTTGGTTCTTCTTATATTTATATTAGTTATTGACTGAATTTATTATATTGCATGCTTTAATTATTAGTTTATAAAACAAAATAATATTCTTTATAATATTATAAATATTCTTTAATCTGTGATTTAATTACATAGTCTGTATTCCCGTTCCCTTACTTAAATGAAAAATCTCTTAAATAATGATTAACAATTAACACAGTCATTAATGATCGTTACAATAAAGATATCGTTATTAAATATAATGTAAATTGTTTGAATCATTTTATAGTGAGTAAACCTACAATCATAATTAGTCTAGCAATTTTTTGCTACTAATTTACAATAAGAAATCCATTCGTAATTGAATATACCCGCGATTACAGAAACATATGTGAGCGCCATCTATTTTTTAGTATTTAAGGAGATGAATATTACTTTTCAAAGTTGTTCCCTGCGTAAGGATACAAGTTACGGGTACTTATTGTCAGGCGCATGCGCTAAAATTAAAATTGTGATGGAAGGGGAATTCCTCCGAAAAGACCCGAGGTCCAAACTCTCACTGGGACGACTTTATTTTCATGAAAATCATTAATTTGAACTAATAATTACATATTTATATATTAAAAGTAAGGTCAAATACGTTTTACTTTGAAACCTGTTCAACTACTGGGTACTTTACCTTATGGTTGTAAAATTACAACTTACTCAAAAACTGTCGTTCCTTAACAGCCACTTCAAATTCAGACGTTGATAAATAAAATCTAATAATTAAAAAAATTTTTTTATTAATGTTCCAGAAATTTCTCGCTTCACAAAAACAAAAATTTGAAACAAAATTAGTAATAGGTATAAAGGAAGTTACTCTAAGAACGTTCCGTGAAGTTATTTTTTTTTTAAATAATATTTGTATTATTGCTATAACAATTGTAAAGAATTTTCCGTTCATTAAAAACAATTAAACCATTCATTAGGAAAATAAGATAATTAATTAAGAGTTGTTCATGAGAGGCTGAACTTAAACTTATTTTTTTAAATATTAAATTTTTGAAAAAAGAAAAAAATCCAATTAAAAAATTTTTTGACGCTTGTGGGAATTAAAGGGGTTTTCTTGATAAATGATCTTGTTTCCTTGTAATAACCAATTAATCGATTTCTTGTCCTCGCCGGCTATCTCAATGTCATTCATAGATTCCACAATAAAACATTCTTCGTCAGATTCTGTGACAGTTTTACAATTAGAATCATAAATAAATAAATTATAGATCCAAAAAAATATAAATTATCGAAAATGCATGAAAAAATCTTACTCAATTTATGAACAGAACCACTGAGGATAACATGATCTCCAACATTGTAATTATTTGCTTCGTATAAATTAATAGTAACCGACATTCTTACAGTTCCATTTGTAATGTAAAAGAAAGCTTGATTGTCGTCATTTCCAGAATCAAGTACCGTAAATTTAGTTTTAATGTATACCCGACAGTACCTAATTAGAAATAATTATAAAAAAATGTAGAATATTTTTAGAGTTAGCTAGTCAAATTAATAAAAAAAACAATTCGGTATATGACTTTTTTTAAAGTTAGTAGTTATAAGTTAATTGTAAATAAACCAGGTGTAAATTATAGGTTAATTCCAAATAAATTAATAAAAAAATAACATAATTTAATGGTTAATTGTAAGTAAATAAATAGATAACTTACGAAATTTCTTTGGCAATAAATTATTAGAAATGGCATCCAATTCAATTGTTTGTAATTCGCCATTATCATTAGTTTCACTGACTGAATACAATTTTCGATCTAATTTTCCAAAATCAGTAATCGTGGTATACTTCTGAATGGATAACTGGGCTCCAAAGTAGTTTCCGCGGTTATATTCACTGTTAGCTACGCCAATTCCACCATCGATATAAAATATCTATAATAACCAGAGAAAAGCATATAATATTAGTGATAATGTTAGCAATAGCATCAATAATAATGTTAATAATAATATTTTATACATGATCCAGTTTCACTACAGCCTCAGTACGTTTTACTTGATCATTCCAAGCATAGACTTGTACACGGTACCCATTACCGTTGTTGACGACAAACTTGAAGGCAGTTTTTTGGCCATATTTAGCAGTTGCCTCAATAGCATCTACGTAACCAACTAATTGACTGTAAAAAAAAAATACATCATGAGTCGTGGAATTATTATTTAATAATTTGAACAAGCAATAAATAATAATATTATAAATAACTGTCTTTAAAGAAATACTTACAATTTAGATTTAGGAGTTAGTTTCTCAATGTCCGAATTTGGAGTGAAAATAACTTTTTCACCACTCATTTTCATTTCTATTAACATAGAAGTGAACTAAAAATAAAACCAAATCTTTAATAATTTTCCATTATGTCAGAAAATATTCGGCAAAATTACTGTATTATTACGGTAATTATTTGGAATTTTTTGGGTAAAATTTGGGCATTAATGCGGTAGTTGTATAGTATATTTTTGGTAAATGTACAGCATAAGTGCAGTATATATACTGGATATTTACAGTATAAAAACTGGCCAAAACAACTATAGTTCAACCGCATTATTACCGAATTATAACGGTAAATATACGGCATGAGCATAAATGCCGAAAAATTACGGTATTTTTACGGCATTCTTAAAACCGCGAGGGATAGCCGCCTTGCAGCATCCCCTATGTACGTCTTAATACACTCACAACCAAATTAGAAAGTTGCGCACCAAAAACGTAACGAGGTCATTCGTCAGTAGATTTTACTCCTCACATTTTTCTCATACCGGGCGCCTTATAGATGAAAATCGATTCTTAAGGAATAAACTCCAAAAATTTCCTAAAAAAATTTTTGGCAATTCGCGGGGCTTTCCTCATCGCTTGACCAGAGTCGTAAGTAGTTTTTTGTCCGCGGCGTTGCCGAAAACACCTCTAGTCTCTGCCTGTTAAACGTGTATTAACTGGCAACACTGTACACTCTAAAAGCATTGCGGCAAATCCCTCGTCACTTGACCAAAGTCGTTAGGTCGCGTTTGTTGACCAGTCTATGGTTAAGGACATGTCTATTTATACGGAAAAAAGTCCTGACAAATCCACGCCGCGTGAATGTAATCCGAACAAAAACAGTTTCACTGTAAAAAAATCGCGCCAAGTCCACGTTCATAAGACTATTAAGAAAAAAAAATTAGTTTTTTTCTTTACAAAAAGATATAAAATAAAAAAATTAAAAAATCCAAGTAACCGATATGATTGTTTATGATTTTCGGAAATTAAAAAAAATTTTGTTGTAAATTTAAAAATTAAAAAGCAATTTTGGAACGTATTTAGTGTGCGCGGTTGCAAAATATTTTACTTTTAATTAAATTCGTAAAATCTATTTACTAGGATTTTAAAAAAATTGAAATACACAATATGACGCACACCAAGTACGTTCCAAAATTGTTCTCGCTTCGCTCGGGCAGGCAACTTCACTCTGGTCTGAAATCGTGTTTCATCCCGCGTCACACATTATATTTTTCATATAAGTTGCATTAAAAATGCTAGTTTCAATGTCTGGAGCCAACCACAGAACTAGATAGTTTCAGACGAATAGCGAAATAAATTCAAGAAAGTAATGGTTTATTTTTATTAAACATTATTCGTAAATTGAATAGTTTTCTTTTGTCATTCTTATTTATGCTTAATAACAGAATTATAATATGTCAGTGCAGTTAATGGTTAGAATGACAATTACAAAGGTATAAAATAAACAAACGATTGATAGGATTGAAAATAAAGCTGCAACTTCATCTCGCGGGCAGAAAATCGTCATTTTCTGCCCGCCGGGAAGACAATGATTGATTCCTGCCCGGCAACAGTCGCATTGGTCTGAAATTGACTAGTTTCGGTTGGCTCACTGCATTTTCAATGCAGGTTATATGAAAAAGAAATTTCAGTCAAGAAAATACGAATGACATGCGAAAGCTATAAATTATGTAGTTAGTTGTCAATCTCTCCAAGAAGTATCAAGAAAAAATGAAATTTCTAGAAATTTATTTAGTACTGCCCACCGTGAAGTAAAATGTATATTTTCTAGCATAATTCTATTATGATAAGAAATTTAGATTTTAAACCGACTTCTTTAGAACTGAATTATGAAAGCTTCCCGTATTCAATTTATTTAAAGCATTATATTTCATAACATTCATCTCGCGCATTTTATTTAAGCGTAGTCATACGGCATTACGCTAGGCTCCGTTATCTGAAAGCAGCCTTATCTGAACACGGAACATGTGTATTTAAATTTACAGTAAAATCTTTTTAAAGTTTCGCATGTGGACTTTTTTTGCTTTTTTAGTGATTCATTCCGCAAATGGATTCTCTTCGAGTACTATAGTTTTGTGTACGAAACTTTTGTAGAGATTTTACTGTTTAACCAGTGCAAAATACTCTAGAAACTTCTGGTCGTATTTTTTAAATGACATATGATAAAGTGCCATCTGTTAATTTTTGACAAAGGTTATGATGCCTAAAGCTCGATCCATAAATTCTCAAATTGTAAGAATTCTCGGTTCTGTAATTTCGAATGTATCGATTTTTGGTATTGACTAAATTTCTTTTTTTTTTTCAATTAAAAATTTATTTTATCGTTTTAAAAATAAAAGTAATCTAAATGTACTATTAATAACGATCCGTATCAATTATTATAATTGGCAATAAAAATATGAAATAAATTATTTTTTTCTGGATTTTTTTGTTATATCGATAGCACTAGCTAAAGGAATTTTCAATATAAGTACATCTTTGTTGTCTTTACTTGGAACAGCTCCAACAATTCGAGCTAACTCTGTTAATTTTCGAAGACCCAGACGACAAGTAAACACTTCATTAAATGATTTCAAATCTAACTTGAAATCATTCACCATTAAAGCTAAAATAATGCTATGGATTACAGCTTTGTCTCTTATACTGACTGGACGCGCCCTATAGAAAAGTTATCAAATAATAAATCTGTCATTTAAAATTTTTGATAAAAATTACTAAATGAAGTTGAAGCATACCTTCCCTTCGCGCTCAACATACTATAAGTATTTATAACATAATCACTTATTTCTGGAATCGCAGATATCTCCGAGCTTCTTCTTTTAGCTTCTCTAACATTTATACTTATCCATTTTGAAAGAGCATTTATAAATTCTAGGATAGCAAGTTTTTTTTTTTTTGAGCGTCATTGTCTATTCTCCTGAGAGAATTAGCAAAGAATGTTGCTTTCCTAAAAAGTAAAATTTTTTATTTTAAATATGTCGATTAAAATAATGTAAACTAAGTAAAAGGTTGTTCATAGATACCTATTTTCTTCATTTTGTAACAAACTATCACAATTCTCACACATCAACATAAGTTTTTCTGCAGGAATAATATCCTCCAAGTTGTAAACCTCATGAACAACTGATGCAGTACGATTACACGGAGGTAAACTACTAAATTTGTCATCGATTGTTTCAACTTTCAAATCATCTTGATCAACTTCGATCTCTGAAATGGATGTAAATTTAATAAAAAAACTTAATTTCAATTAAAAAAAAAAAAATATTAATTAGTCGAAATTGGTTGCATTCATACTAATTTTATTAAATATATTCATTTTCATCATTTTTGAATGTGTAATATATTGAGATATTTATTTATGCACTGAAAAAAAAATTAACTTGAATAAAGTGGAATATTTATGAACCAAGAAAATAATTTTGAAGAGTTTCGTTGTCTTGAATCAAGTAAAATTTACTTAAACCAAGAAAAATTTCATAGCTTAAGGATTTTTCTACTCAAATCGAGAAGATGAAGTTCTTCATATTTATTTACTTGATCCAAGTAAATTTTTTTTCTGTGTACTAGATATTGAGATGCCTGATGAAGATTCAATTAAATAGTTAACCCGTTGGTAAATTAACAAGGAGTATTTTAGATTAACATCCTGACTTCCAAGCTTTTAATAAAAATGAATATATTTAAAACTAATTAGATTATACATTTACTTACGAGAAACAGTTTCTGCAAGTTGATCTTGTACTGCATCTATGCTAACTTGCATTTTACTATTTTGAATAGTTCTTCGTTTGACTTTTTTTGAACCAAATTCTTTGTTGAGTAGATTGTTTTGATTATCTTCATTGTTTTTATTAGATATCAACTGCTTTTTAGTCGTTGGAAATACCAACCATCTTTCTGCTTGAATCAATTTAATTTTACCTGTTTTTTTATTGTGGATTGCCAGCATAGGATAAGTTAGTTGATTTTTTGGACGATGGCCTTTGTAAACAACATGGTTATTGGAAATTCCTAACAAGGATTTTTTTTCCCTTTCATCGTAAAATAAACCACATTTCATTTTCCTGACCAGATTGTTTTGTAGTTTACCATTTTGGAATTTCACTAAAATTTTACACAGTTATTATAATGAATAATAAAAATTAATTATGAAACTCAAAATATGAACAAATTATTATAAAAAAATTAAAAGAAAAACCCCGCATTTAGAAAGTAAAAGTGCAATTATTTAAAAATATTTTTTTAGATCAGATTCAATTAATGAATAAAATGAAAAAATGGTTAGTCTGCTTATTTTAGTATTATGAATTAATCATACGCAACACGCTCAACCTACGAGTATGGTACAATATAACTTACCAATAATAGGTTGAATTTTCGTCGGCTGAATGGAGACATGAGAAACAATTCCTTTTAGTTTCATTGCAAAAGATAAATTGATATCTATGATAACGCTCTAATCAAATTTATAATATTTTTATACCAATACACTTTATTATTTAGTTTAGTGCATATGAATTGAAGGTTAAACACTACGATTTAAATTTTACCGACAATTCTACGCCACGTGTTCGACTGTAGGACCGTTGAGTTTTCGGTTCTCGGTTCACCTCACAAATAAAAATACATGAACGTTGGAAGTTAGTTAATAGTCGAAAGTCGAAACTCGAAATAAACGGAACACGATTCATCATTGGTAAGAATTAAGGCGCACGCGTAGCGCGCTATTTAAATTTCTGGGTTACCTATAGTGTATTTATTTGTTACAGCTGCGTCAGCTGCTCGTAGTGCATTTCGGAATACGCCCTTTAGGTGCTTACACGAAGCAGCACTATTTTCAGAAATTTTATTTTTCTGATCATTTTTTAAAGAAATTTGACAATCAAGAAATATCAACAGATTCGGTAGAATCTGGCGCCAAGTTCCGTTCTCAAGCCAGACTACCGAGTGTTCAACAGATTCGGTAGAATCTGGCGCCAAGTTCCGTTCTCAAGCCAGGCTACCGAGTGTGTATATACCGTAAGCAGAACGGTTTTTTGAGGTTACAAATTTTTTTTCAAATTTAATTTGATTTTTTTTTTATATGATATTTTATAACAGTAGTTCATGCTTTTTATTACGCGTATTACTTGATTATTATCAATTATCTTTATAATTTCTATTTAAAATTATTAAAAATAATCAGCACAAACTATAGCGACCCAGATTTTTAGATTTTAACTTTTTTCTTATGTAAAAAGCAGACGGCCAGAGACTAAATAATATAAGGATGCATGCTAATCTTATAATAGATGAGAAACTACAGTGAAAAAAAGATATTTGACAGCTTGCAATTACTCACGCCAGACGGCGCAAAAATAACTTTTACATGAACTATAGCTTAAAGGAGATAGTTTCTAGTTTGCCACCGGAAATGCATTGAATTAAAATTGTCAATTTTTATTATAATTAAAAAAAATACTGAAATCCGAACAAAAACAGTTTCACTGTAAAAAAAAAATCGCGCCAAGTCCACGTTCATAAGACTATTAAAAAAAAAAAAAATTTTATTTCTTTACAAAAAAATATAAAATAAAAAATTAAAAAATCCAAGTAACCGATATGATTGTATATGATTTTCCGAAATTAGAAAAAATTTTATTGTAAATTTAAAAATTAAAAAAAAAAAATTTTGGAACGTACTTGGTGTGCGTCATATTGTGCATTTTTTTAAAAGTCCCAGAAGATAGATTTTAGGAATTTCATAAAAAATAAAATTGGATTTTTTTATTTTATATCTTTTTGTAAAGAAATAAAATTTTTTTTTTAATAGTCTTATGAACGTGGACTTGGCGCGATTTTTTTTACAGTGAAACTGTTTTTGTTCGGATATAGCTTTCGCAATGACTTGTCATTTGATATTTCTCGAGTTAATATTGATCTGCTTTTTATATTAAATCCACATTACTTGCCAGAAAAAAAATTTTTCTGGTAAAGGATATCAATTTTTTTGCTTTATAAACATTTTTTTTTAAATAAATATTATATTACACACCTAGGGCAGAGTAAAGTAAGAAAAATGTCTTAGATCACGTGTAATTGTTGGCCAAAGCGAAGCCGATCTGAGAAAAAATTTTGCCTCCTGGTCAAAATTTTTTTTTTCAGATTAAGATTTAGTTTTTCAGATTATATGTAATTCAGTAATATCCACGAAGTGAAAAGTATCTTTATCTAAAACATTTTTCGTCTTAATCAAACAACAATTCTTTTACGTATAGTTAAAAGTAAGAATTATTAATTTTAGTTACCACATATCGTATTAGGAAATCATTTACGGACTCTTAAATTAATAGTTAATATATAATTTTTTAAACACAACGAATTTTATCCCGAATTTACCAAATAACAATAATAATAATAATTTAATAATATTTCAATATAAATTCGAACACCATGCATTCGAATTAAATGGTGGAGACTTTACTTTGAATTCGAGCATTCGAATTAAAAATTAATTTTTCAATTTTTTTTTCACGATTAGAATTAAAAATTTAATTTATAATTATTAATAATTAGAATTAATAAATCCTAACTATTGATTGAAAAGTAATTTTTCAATTTTAATTTCTTTTTTCGAATAGAGAGCTTAATTTTCGATATTTAACCGAAAATTCATGACAATACAATTGCTACTCTTAACGAAGAAATTTTTAAGACAGTTCATTTTGATTTTAAAAAGGCGGTACCGCAGAGATAACAGTATACTAAAGTGCGTTTCTTTTTAAATAATAACCAGTGTAGCTGGTTATAAAAAAACGACTTCGTGATAAACATTGACGTTAGATCTTACTGTGTTCACAGTGTATATCGGAACATACTCATTGTTTGTGATTCAAGTTGAGCAGTACCCAATTATTTTAAAAAATCCGTGGATGCTTTGTGTACAATGAGATGATTAAAAAAAAATCCGTTTATCTTCAAACGAGTATTGGTCTTTTATCATTTCTATTAGCATAACACAAGAAAATGATTTTTTTGCTTCTTCTGATTATTATAACTAACTAAATAACCATGTGCTTCACAGAATCTTTTCATTTTCATTACACATTAAATTACTTGAACGATTAAAGACCTATTCTTTACCTCTACGGGGAAAAAAATTCCTATTTGAGAGCTAATTTTTCTTCATGTACCTATGTTACCACGAAAGTTTAAAACTAAATAAGTAATCCAGTAGTACTTGATAAAGAAAGACTTAGTGTAATAAAAAAAATTAAGATGATTTAATTTTTTGTTTATTTACAATATCGTTGATATTATTTTGACTTACAACTATTGTCATTGAAGTTGAACTATCGGTTAAATGAGCAGCTTTCCGCCGCCTTGGTATAATAATTTTTTTAGTAGAACTCGAAAAAGATGTCACAGTCACAGTATTTTTTTTATTGAAAAGTTCTAAAGGATTATCAAGTGGGCGACTATTGATATTTTTCTTTGAACTATTCGATGAATCTTTTTTGTCTTTTCTCATTTGATCAAGAGTTCTGTTAGTTGAAGAGTCAATAGTTTTTGATTCATTGTTTGATGAATCCAATGGTCCATGCTTTTTATTTAAGATTGGTTCAATTACACCATTTTTACAAGAAACATCTGTATTCATGATAGAAATATTTTTTTTTGTATTTTGTTCAAGTAGATTTTTTTCTTGAATTTTATTGTCTTCATTATTATCTTCTTCGAGCTAAAAAATAAAAAGATTATCACAATAAACATTTTTATTTTTGAGTTTATTTATTATAAAATATTTAAGAACAAAAGCAAGAATTATTACGCTTGTAAAATTAGGATTGTCCCATTCAGTATCGTCGTTGTTATCAACTGTTACTTGAATAATTTCTAAGATAATAATGATAATGCGAACTATACGGACGGAGAAGTATTTATTTTTCAATTTTCTCGATTAAAGGACTACTTAAAAAAAAGTTATTCATGGAGACTTGATTCAAATTTTCAAAACCCACTTTCTACAGTTAAGTCTCATTATCAGTCCTATTTGTATTCTTATTTTTTAACCAGACTGGCGTTAATATCAGAGAAACATTAATAGGAGTCATAACGAGACACGACTGTATGTACTGTAACAATATTTAATGTAAAAGATATTTATAATTAAAAAAAAAAATTTTCCATACAATAGTCGATATCTCGGCGGTAAATAGTTATGACGATAGTCAAAGTATTCAGAATTGAAACTAAAGATTCAGGCAAAGTGATATAGGTAGTTATTAAACTCAGATAAAAATTTTCTGAGCCCAAGAACAATTAAAAAAACAACTTTAGAAATGCTTTTTTAGTATGATTTCTTTTCTTTACACCGCAAATGGTATTAAAAAAAAGTTTTCATCTTAACAGCCGATCCCCTCTTTTTCTCGCGTCGTACTCACTACTAGAAACGGTACTATCCTTGTTGCACTCATAATTATAAATCTATTACAGTTCTATGGTTTTCTTTTTTAAACAAATGAGAATTTCGAAAAAAAACGCTCTGCTACGAAATAGATAATTAAACGCGTCGTACTCACTACTAGAAACGGTACTATCCTTGTTGCACTCATAATTATAAATCTATTACAGTTCTATGGTTTTCTTTTTTAAACAAATGAGAATTTCGAAAAAAAACGCTCTGCTACGAAATAGATAATTAAAAAATCTATTACGTAGCAGAGCGTTTTTTTTCAAAATTCTTCTCTGTCTAGGAGAAAATATAAAGCTGCAATCGTAGGGACTGGCTATTAAGATTTTGAAATTAGACACTGCTTGCTTTGAAATACTTTTTTTGATTTCTAGATACGAATATTAGTTACGAGTCACATCCTTTGCAAAATTACTAGGAATATTTGAAAATTTCTTGGCTTCCCTAATTTGTAAGAAAGAAAACCGCGATTCAAATAAATGAGTTAATAGGAAATTTCATTCTAAAATCACTTCACATACAGTGAAATTTAACTAAAATCAACTTGATGGGGCTTGAAATTCCTAAAAATTAAAATTGTCGAGTAACAAAGTTGTATAAGATTAAGAAAAAAGAGAAAATTAGAATAATAACAGCTTTCCTTGAATTTGAAAATGAGAGTTGAATTTTGCGAGCGTCAATTTTAGCGAAATTTTACGATATCAAATATTTCAGAAAGTTAAGTTAAGTTTTTGTTTCGATTGTCTTTAAAATTACTTAACTACACTTCCTTGAGCATATATAATAAGAATGAAGATATTGCACTAATAAATTTTTTTGTGCCGTTACATACTTTTATTCGTTTATCAAGATTGATGCTGGAATCCGTTTCATTTGATCTTTTTGAAGATGTTTTATACAGATTTTGACCGCCTTGATTGTTACTTGATGAAATCAATAATTGATTTTCTTTATCACCTTTATCACTTTTCTTCTCTTCTTGAATAATAGATTTAAGAGTTAATCGTTTTAATTGAATATTTTCTAACTTGGCAGTTTCTTCTTCTTCACGTAATTTTTTTTTTAGTCTTTGACCGAAAACGGTAGGCACAAAGTTATCATTTTCTTCGAATTTTTTGTTTGGAACAAATGTTAAAATGATCGAATTATCATGTACAGGCTCATTGATTTTACATATTGGTTCCTGTTTAACATTGATTTCGTCAAATTTATTCTGGGATTGAGATTTGACATTCAGATCATTAGGCTTGTTGAATTTAAATTGTTCAGAAGAATTTCTGCGAAATGTTTTATTGTTCAATCTGAAAAAAAAAAAAAAAATCAAAAATAAACGGTTAATGTGGTGAATATTCTAATAACATTGTTAAGTTTATACTGCAAAATCGTCAAATAGCAGCATGTCAAGAGTAGAGCACTTCCACATGCTCGCACGTTGTGAAATAACAATCGGAACAGTACTTACTGTTGTCTTAATTCAGCTATAATACGGTCTTTTCTTACAATTTCATTTTTGGCTGTCTTCAAAAGTGATGACAAGTTTATCTTCAAAGTATTATTGGTGGCTTCTAAATTTTTAATCTTTTTTTTCAATTCTTGGGTGTGATTTTCTAATTTTTTTGTTTCCAATTTCAACTCTGAGATAGTCGAAGAACACTAAATAAAAAATGTAAATTCATTAAATCAAAGACTGGATAAAAAAAATCAATTCGAAAATATACTCATAATAATTTTAAGAAAGTGTTTACTCCTATTTAAAAAATTTATCTTAAAAAATTCTTTTGATCGTGCAATAATAAAGAAAAGCTCATTTATAGATAGTTAGAATATATAAAAAAAATTAAGGACCTTTAGATACTTTATATAATTATATTATTAATCTACATCATGTCTTTAGGTATTCTATAAAATTTAATATTATTATTTAAGTCACTTAGTAATTTCAAAAATTATCAACTTTGTCCAAAGTTACCCCTCTAGCCAACTTTAGATGAATAATTAATTTATAATAATCGAAATTCAATGACAATGAAATATTTTCTTTTAATTAGATGTTAAAAAATAGAAAGCATGTCCAACGTTGTGAGCACTTATAAATTAAGTATTATTTTAAGATGCTTCAGTTTGAAAATTGAGAAATATAAAATTAAAAACACAAATTCGACAATACATTGCAAATTAAGGTCAATAAAAAAAATTAAAACAGCTGTTGATTAATTTTAATTTAAATTTATGCTCCCTTGTTTAAAATTCGCGCTCAAAAAAAAAATCTATTTTATAATTATAATTAAAGTTGTCTAAAGGTGGTCTCTCTTCTATTAATCTACAGTAGTGGTGACTGAAACATATAATTATAATAAAATTGTGAGATAAGTTTACGTACATTTTCGTCTCTTTTTTCGTCGAAATTTTCCAAATCTCCATAAATATCAATATCATCGTCCATTATGATTGTTACCTGAAATCCAGAAAACACCGTATTTACACACTGTAATTTATGTAACAATTTCAATTTAAAAGTATTTTAATACATATGATCTTTTGAGAAAGTATTACTTACCTGTTAGTATTTTAAGAAAAAGTACTTTTCATAAGTCTAATTATAACCTAAATATGGAAATCTTCTTTGAATATAAACTGAGCTATAATCGAGCAGCTGATTGACAGATTGTAGAGAAGAGGTATAAAGAGTATAGTCTTGCAAAACCTTATTGTACATACATACATTGTTATGCTTCCATCTAGTGGATGTTATTTTTATTTATTGAAATCTTTACTTACTGTAGTTCTTTCGCCTAGGAGTATTAAAATACTCGGTTTCAGCGCGGGAAAGGAATCATTTTAAATAAAAGAATTCTATTTAGACGTTATTTAATTTTGATCAAAATTATTTAGTTGGTTTTAATTTATTATTCAAGCCCTCGTGGTTTTTGAAATACCGTAAATTTTCGGTATTAATGCGTTTACCATAAATTTACCGTTATAATCCTGAAATAATACGGTATTTCTGTGGTTACTTTGGCCAGTTTTTTTACTATAATACAGCATTTCTACCGTACTTTTTCTGCAAAGTTCAGGAATAATACGATAAAATTACCGTAAAACTCTAAAACTTTTACCGTAAAAAATCTATGTATTAACTATAATATTACTATAATTTTACAATAATAAAATCGTATTTCTACGGTAAAAATACCGAAGATATACTGCAATTTTGCCGCGTTTATACTGATATAATTAAAGATATAATGCTTTCTACCGTAAGATGGACGGTATGGAGATTAGTTAAAAAAGTGTGGTGGACTCGAACCCATGCCTGGTCAGTACTCATTGTTCAGTCAAGCGCGTTAACCGCTCAGCTACATATGTATAAGTACTGGTTTACCTATGAATTAAACCAAAAAAGTTTGGAAAATCCAAATGAGCATGCCTTAAGCGCTCATGTCATACATAAATTAATTAGATCATAAAAAAAATTATTCGTTTTTAATTTGAATTTTTCCGCGAGTAGTATTATTATCCCCTCTGTAGGTCGAACTAAAGAAAAATTTCAACAGATGATAAAACAGTTAGTAATTATACCATCATGTATGTATAGTTTCTGCTTGTTTATAGTTATTTCAATTCTGCTTATGAAAAATAATATATATGGCTGCCGAAATCGCAGAAAAAGTCACCGAACTGACAATCGAAAAAAATTAACTGTATCGAAACGGAATTATTTTGACACGCAATTTTCACAAGGGTTTTGATAAACTTCCTCAGGAATAAAACAAAAAAAAAATTAAATCGTGAAAGTGATTTTTGACCAAGTTGTGGTGTTGACAAGCCCATAGCTTCCGTGAATACCACGCTCTTATTCATTTAATTCATCAAGAAAAACAAGTTTTTTCTGAGAAATCTTATTTATTCGATAAGAAAATTTTTTTACCGTGTTCTGTAGTTACTATTATTTATTTCAATATGCTTTTTATCCATAATTTTTTTCGTTTAAATTATGAATATCACGTTTTAATCGAAATCACGATTTTTAGGCGAGAGTAGAGCATACATACATACATACTTGCGCGCTTCGCGCTTAAGGGTTGGCCGTACTCAACATATTATCAGAATTTCATTTTTCTAATTAGACCTTAAATAAATTTGAGAATTGAAAAATTCAAGGTTTCCGAGGAAGTAAATATGAAAAATTTACTCGGAAGCCTTAAATTACTTAAATAAAAACTATTCTTACTAAATTATTAGAAAACTAAGATTTTATAAAACGGTTCACTACGGCTCAGCCTTAAGGCATGCAAAAATAAAAAAATCCTCAACTCTATTTGATAATTCTCATAATAGAGAGCGCTTCCGTCATCTCGAACGATTAGCATTCGTTGTCATGTAAACTTGACTATAGTATAACCAAGCTTTGTAGGTATACCAAGGTAAATGGAAATACTCGGATACCTGTTCATGTAAAAGAGATGCACATGATATTTATCCAGACAAGATTTGGAATGCTTTTTTGTTATACTCAGTATCTCACGAAAATATCATATAATTCATGAAACTTGTTTTATGAATTTGGAAGTAAATAAGTTTCAAATGAATGATAATAATCATGATTATAGTAAACAATAACAACCAATACAACAATAGCAATAATAATAATAGTAAAGTTAGTGTCAGAGGTGTCGAGTGTCTAGCTGTCAATTAATGACGTTTTCTTACTGCAAGCGGTTATTATAGTTCATTTTTATACAACTGCAAGTTTCGAAAATTGTTTTTTTTCGATTTCAAATGAGCTCTTTTGTATACATAAAACGACTGAATTATTGATAGAGTAAGTTTGTACATTATAATTATAATAGCGATATTTTAAACCACTGTAAATACTTTATTAACGATAAAGAATTTCCAAATTGAAGTAAAAAAATGAAATAATACGAGTTTAGTTCTTAAGTGATTTGTGGCTATAAATTTTATAATAGTGAACTGACGGAAATTATCTTGATTATCATAATCATTTATTTTTGATCTACAACTAAGGTAAATATTCTTCATCTTAATTACATTTTAAAGTATTCGTACATCTAAACTCATGAGTAAAGTGAATGTAAATACTAAAACTTATTCTTTTATTTATTTCTTAATACTCATTTGTATGAGTATTCATTACTACAAGTATTCATTAATACTTTACTTTCATGTACGTAAATTGATTTATGTGAAGGTTTTAGAATTGTGCTACTCATTAAGAATTTATAATAAATAATTCAGTCATATTTATTAGTCAAATTGCATAATTGCATGCGGTATTTTTAAGCTATTTTACCATCAAAGTATAACCTTGATCTTTTTTAATTGATGAGGACATTTTTTTATGAGTTTTCAATGAAATGGATTGAATAATTTATTTGAGTTACATCAACAAAAGAAAATATTTTTTTGGTGAAGTGAAAATATGAAACAGAATAGCCACTCCTATAAACTAATTACTGTATATAAATTTCTACGCTTTGAATGCATGATAGTAAAAGAGACAAAGGCATAAATAGTAGTTTTGTGCTGTAGAAAAGTAAGTAAATAAATAAAATATTTATAATCAGTTGTATAAACAAGTTTAAAAAATTTTTTTAGAATTATCAATAATTCTTTACTAAATAACAATTAGCTTTACAGAAAAATACAAAAACGATTATCACCAATTAAAATCGATTATGCTATAAACATAAGTTACATTAATGAATTAGTAACGGTCACAGGCTTCTTGAATTTGTTAATGGGCATGCCCTGTAGTGCTAGCTTTCATCTACTATAGTATTCTATAGAGTACGATTTTTTGACATTTGATATCAATAAAATAAATGTGTCCCTAAAAACATGAATGTCCGTGCTCTATTTATTAACTAGATTTGAGACTTATACCACTAAGGCTGCATAATTCACCCGGTTAATAGCCAGTCCCCTCTTTTTCTCGCATCACACTCACTGCGAGAAACGGTACTATCCTTGTTGCACCAATGATTATAAAGCTATTGCAGTTTTATGTTTTTCTTTTAAACAAATGAGAATTTCGAAAAAATTGCTATGCTACAAAAAAGATAATTAAAAAATCTATTCTTAGCAGAGCGTTTTTTTCAAAATTCTTCTTTTTTCGAAGAGAGAAACATAAAGCTACAATTGTAGGGACCGGCTGTTGAGCTGGTTAAAAACGTTAAAGAGGTTAATTAGGTAGCTAACTGATCACTGATCAGTGATCAGCTTAGCTAAATTAGCCGGTTAATTGAGTTAGTTAAGCTTATTGGTTAAAAGCTAAAACCGGTTAAATAAATAAATTTATTTACGTGAATTTACTATGTATTATGAAAAAACAAGTAGGAAAATTATAGTAATTGTTTAGAATTGCGATAAAAGATAAATGCCAATTCAATGAAATTTGGAATTTCATTGTGCAAGTCAATACAATAATTCAATTAAATTTTAAGTCTAAATCTAAAAATGCAATTCTATTAAGCGCCCAGCGGAGCGGGCGAGTAACAGCTAGTTATTATTTAACTAGTGATAATTGTTCGATAAATTTCGTAACGTTCATTACAATTTTTAATACTTGAAGAATATTAACAAAATATAACTAAAAATTTTATAATATTTGGAAAAATAATAAAATTGTGAACACTGCAATTTTTTATTTGAAATATTCAATGATTGAACAAAGAATCATTCAAATTATTATTAAGGTAGTTCCAGCATGAAATCACTTTTCGACAGATTCGGCTGAAATTTTTTTTACGGGTTCAGAATAGCTTTATTTATAAATTCCTGAAATTTCATAATTTTTGACCGTTTAGATCGCGAGATATTTAAAGTCAAAGTTGGCGATTTTGAGGGTCATGTTCCATTTAAAGCATGTAAAATGTCCGGTCTCTCCAACTATTTTTTATGATATTAAAAAATTCTCTCGACAGAATTGAAAAAAAAATTAGGAGAGTGTTGAAAAATGTTTTTAGAATAAGTTAAAAAATAAAAATAGCACTTCACCGTTTTATTATCGAGATATAATAATTTTAAAAAATAAATTTCAATCCATTTCTAACCTGCTCACTTAACAACTTATAGTGATTTGGCAACGCCGTGCGCAACGCTCCCTGAAATAGTGTAGCATAAAAAGCGGGAAATTCAAATCTTTCACGGTTTTCAAGAGCAACGTTGCCAGATCACTAGACTAACAATATGTAATTGTATGTGTGAACGTCTGTGTGCCGAGGCTTTTCAATTTTTGTCCATAGTAAATGCTCTGACTATACTATACCACGCTGGAACTACGTTAAGGATATAAGTTTCAACGTACAAATGAAAATAAGACAATTTAGTTACAACAAAATTATAACAATCATTAAAACAATTGTATTTTGAGGTGTTCGATGTTTTTTCAAATCTATAACCCCACATGAAATTAAAAATAGAATTACAATG